CACCTGGCTCAAGTTTTGTTCGGCTTTGCACTGGCAAAGCAGGTGCTCTATGGCTTGAGCCACACCTCCAGCCCATTTTGCGCTGGTTATTTTGGAGATGGGGTCTCAAAATCCTCCCCATCTCAGCCTCCCAAGTGGCTGGGATTACAGGTGTGAGGCACCCAGCTCCGTCTCAAGTTTGTACTCATCTGAGTGTTTGGAGAACATCCAAGGTGAGTGTGAGTATTGCTCAGGAAACCCCTGCTGGGATAATGGCCACCAGGGCCTCAGCAAACCCCCAAACCCTGAGAAGTAGGTCTGGGGGTCCCCAGGACTCACCCATATGCCCCGTTACTGATCAATTTGATGGTCTCAAAGTCACTCTCACATGGCTTCCTCCGGGTATGGTGCCAGGTGCCCCAGGGCACCGCGGCTCTAGGGACAGGAAAAGGTTCTCAGCTCCCAGCCTGGAGTTATACATTTGCCCCAACAGGTCCTAGCCCTGATACACAACCGCCCCCCCCCCCCAAGTTCCAAAAACCACTGTCTGAGTTTCTGAGCTTTTGTTCCCACAATCTTGGCAAACTTCCTGTACATCCTTCAAACCCCACATTTTCAGTGTGTGCCTCTCTGGAACAGCTCTGCCCTGCAGGACCTGCCCACTTGAAGCTCCCTTCTCCCCAAGTCCCCTAGGTAAACCACTGAGCACATGCAAACCCACCACCACTCAGCCCATCTTCGGGCCAATAGGATACACGATTGGGGTCACAACACTGTCACTGACCTCTGGAGACTCGGGGGGCTGGCAGCTGCCCTTCACTGAGATCACTCAGGGCACAATCTCTGTAAGGTGACAGGAGAACTGTTTTTGCTTCTGTTTGAGCAAGGGTTCTCCACTATGCAGCCCAGGGCTGCAACTCGTGACCTCCTGCCTGGGTCTTCCCACAGCCGCCTTGTCCCTTGGTGATGTGGCACTTGGGGACACTGAAGCTCAGGAGTCCCAGAAGCTGGGGGGACGCCCCCGCGGGTGGAGGCTGTGGGTCTGTTTCCCCCACGACTCACCCTCCAGCGGGTCCTTGGCCAGCCCCAGCTGCCCGATGATGTACTGGGGCAGGTCGGCCTTGATGCCCTGGTCCTCACGGGCCTGGCCCTCGGCTGCCTCCAGCAGATGGTAAAACTCCTCGGGGTCGAACTCCTGCGGGACAGGGGACCGGTGAGGCGCAGCCGCATGCCACTCCAGCCCAGCCCCGGGCAGCCCACGTCCCCCCTGCCCCGTGTGCTGGACACGCGTCCGTCCAGGCAGACTGTCCGTCCAGGGCCGCACCAGGCACTCGAGGAGCCGCGCCGGCCGCGAGATGATGATCAGCAGCTTCCGGACCAGCTGGATGATGAAACCCACCTCCTCGCTGTCCGAGCGCTCGTGAGCCTGTCGAGGGGCGTGGCGTCACCGAGACCCGCCCACAGTGGGCGTGGTCTCCGCACCAGGCCAGGCTCACCCAGAGGCTCCACCCCGGGTGGGCGTGACACCATGCAAAAGCCACGCCCCCGCGTCAGAGGAAACGGGCGTGGCGTTTCGCCGAGGCCCCGCCCCTCCCGCCGCAGGCCCCGCCCCCACGCACGTCCTGCAGCAGCCGCTCCAGCTTGTCCTGCATCTCCAGGAAGTAGCGCGAATACACAGGGCTTCGCAGGCTGGACTTTGCCAGGCAGTTCCCGGGCCAGCTCCACGATCTGGTGGTGGATGAAACCCAGGACGCCATCGGCCAGCGCCAGCGGCCACCGGCGCGTGCCAGGAAGTCCTGCAAGCGACCCTCCATCTGGGCGGTGGCCTGGGGCGGGGGGTGGGGGTGGGAGGACACAGGTTCAGGCCAGGCAGGCACAGTGGGGACACAGGTAGGGTCATCGGGGGACACCTCCGGAGGCCACACCTGTCCCCTTCCCCCCCCACCCCCGCACTGCCCACCTTGGGGAACCGCTCCCGGTACACGTGGTTCATCATGACGATCTCGTTGTCAAAGGTCCCGGATGTGCGGCCCGGGCTGCAAGGACACCTGGCCTGCGTGACAAGGGACGAGGGCCCGAGACCGAGGGCTGGGCAGCAGGGCGGGGAGGCGGAGGAGCAGGGAGCAGCCCCTGGGGTCAGAGGGTCGGGGGTCAGAGGTCGGCGCACCTGAGGCTGCGGGAGCGGGGCCGCAGGCGGGGTGACCGGCCCCCGTCCTCGTCCACCACGCTCTCCGACTGCGGAAGTGCTTGGACAGGAAGCGCAGCTCGTCCGCCGTGGGTTGGAAGGGAAGCTGGTGGAGGCGCTCCCGGGAGGACGAGCTTGACTGTGGGATGGGGGGTCAGCACCCCAGCCGAGGGACCCCCAGCACCACCCTTCAACCCTCAGCCTGTCTCCTCTGCAACCCTGCAACCCACTAGCAATGCCCCTCCTTCAGTGCTTCGGTTCAGGTCCCGCCCTCCCCTTGTGTCCTCAGACTGCCACATGGGGGCAGCGGGAACACCGAACCTGACACCCCACAAAGCACCAAAGGATGGGTTCCTCCCACTCCCCACCCACCCACCCACAATCGCCTGTCTCCGCCCGCCCTGGGGCTGTGGTACCGAGACAGTGGAGCTGGGTGTGTTGGTGCCATAGCCAGAAGACGGGAGAAGGCCAGGGACCATCTTCTGGCCGTCTGCCCTGCAGGAGGGACAAGAAGACATAGAAAGACAGCCCACCCGGTCCTCAGGGTTTGTGGGACCTGGGCAGGAAGTGTGACCAACAGATCCCTGCCCGGTTGAAGGGAGGACCTGCTGTGAGGGCCGCATGGGGACTCAAGCCAACCCGTGCAGTGTGTGCGTCCTGACCTGCAGACGCCTCCTCCAGGCAGCCCTCCCGGTGTGTCCCCGACCAAGCTTTGACCTGTGAGTTGCAGCTGCTGTGGGGGGAGGGGACACACTGGCCACCTCCACTGGACCCCAGGGTTCTGTTTCCCAGGTGTGCTGTGTCCTCAGTCCCCAGCGTGGGGTAGGTACTTAATAAATGTAGCTGAGTGAATATGTGAAGTAAGGTGCCCGGTCCACCACGGCAGCTTTTAATGAGGGATTTTGTTAGTGGGGCCACGGTTCCCATGTCCCCACCTCCCCCGGGGGGTCTTTGTGATTACCTGTCCACGCGGGGGGCCTGACTGCAGAAGGCCGTGTGGGTAGGGACCACCGCCGGGTAGGCAGGGGCCGGGGAGGGGAGAGACAGTGAGGAGGGCGGTCCTGCCACCAAGCCACCAAGCCACTAGGCCACTGAGCCACCAAATTGCACGCCACCCCCACGGGCCACTCACCTCCGGGCGAAGGGGAAGTTGATGCCGGCCGCAGCCGCGAAGTTTCGAGGACTCTCAAGGGGACTGCTGCCTGCTGAGGGATAAGTGGGAAACTGAGTCAGGGCAGAGACGTGGACACAGCCGCCCAACTGTGGCTCCCACCACTCACCGTGGGGACAGGACAGGGGCGACAGGGGCCGGGAGAGTGGGCGATGCGTCCCTACACCAGGCTTTTACGGTTCCCGCTTCGGCAGCTGTGGGGGAAGGAGGAGGGGTTAGAGGGTCAGAGTGGCCCAGGCCACCTGAGCACCTCACACAGAGGTGGAGGACATCAGTCCGTAGCCCCCAGCCGGGTGACAAGTCCCTTCTATCCTGCCTAAGGCCAAGGCCCCAGTCCACCATCGAAATGCTGACCGGTGACAGGAAAGTCACCTACTTCTTCTTGCTCAGCTAACTTGGACCCCAGGTCCCTTCCGGACCTGGAGAAGGGGAAGTCGGGCTTTGTGGCTCCTGTCCCCTCCCTCCTCGCCCGTCCCCCCCCCCCACCAGCAGTCGCCTGGCAACAGCTCCTCCACTCGGTGACAAGTGCAGCCCACACTGTCCCAGCCACCCGCCGCCGACGCAGGAAGAATGAAATGACAACCCTGCGAAGGGAGTGATGCCAGGCACAGAGGGCCAGGTGGTGTCCCCAGCCGGGTGCAGGGGGACTCGGACTTGCAGGACAAGGTGTTAGCCTGGTCACCCGAGAGCACAAGTGACAAGGTGGCAAGGGAAAAGGGGGGGTGAGCCCAGCTTGTGTGCAGTGACACCTCCAGCCTCAGTTTCCCCATCCAATGCCTCAAAGGAACACAGCACACACCTTCCCGGGAGCTGGTCACCCACATGGGCCTGTCCCCAACCAGCCAACGCAGGACACCGGGAGCCCTCGGTCGGTGCCACCCATTCCCCAGCCTGGGCAACCGAGGCCTCAGATGTCTCCAGCATTGTCATCTTAGCCTCGGTCGGGTACAGAAGCAAAAGTGAAACGCTCGAGTTCCTTCACGACTTCCTGCTCCCCAGGGCCCCGAAGCCACCGAAGTCACCACCATATCCTCTCCCCGCCCCCACCTGGCTGCCACCAAGGACCTTGAAAGAAGCCATGCTTCTCCCAAGCCAGGCCTTTCACATGGCCATACATTCATTGGGTGCCAACTGCATACAAATATACCCGAGGGCTTGGCATCGGAGCATTTATTGAGCGCCGACTGCATACACACCACACACACAGTGTGTCACCCCTTGGGTCTTGGGGACCCTGGACTCAACTCCCCTTCAGCTGCTGATCCAAACCAAAGGTCAGAGAGGCCAGGGACCTGCTTGAGGTCACACAGCCTGGCAGTGGCTGAAGTGGCGTTTGGGGACATCCACCCCCACACCAGACCCCATTTTCTGGACTCTGGATTTGCCACCCACGCGCCACCTCGTGCATAAATATTTGCATCTGAGGCAGGGCTGGCCACGGGGACAGATGGCTTCAGTGTTCCCGAGGTTCCCTCCTCCCTCCTCCTCCTTGTGTCCGACGGAGTCCGGGGTTCGAATCCCGCCCGGGTCCCCAGTGTCTGCGGGCCCCGTGTCACCACCGCGGCGGCGAAGGGACAGACAGGAAGGGGCAGGGGACAGCAGGGGACACTACCTCTTGGAGCGCTGCAGCAGGGCGCCCTTGGCCAGGCGGCTGCGATGACCGGGGGCGGCCACCGCCGTCCAGTAGCTGGGGTCGGACATGCTGCTTCCCTTTGTGCCACCGCCACCACCGCCACCACCCGAGGCCCGGGACGCGCGGGGGCGCAGCCGGCGGCGGCGGCGGGATCGACCCCGGGAACCCCGCGGAGCTGGGCCGGGCGGCCGGGGGGCCGGGTCGGGGGGTGGGGTGGGGGGGGCGGCGCGGGGCCGCGGGCGGGGGCGGCGAGGAGGAAGCGCGCGGCCCGGAACCCCGCCCAGGAGTGCGCGGGGGCGGGGCTCGCGCGGGGGCGGGGCTCGCGACCAGGAAACCCAGCAGTCGAGTGGGCGTGGCGTTGCTATGGCTGAGGGCGGCCCGGGCGGGGCGTTGCTAGCGCTACGTACGGGGCAGAGGCGGGGCGTAGCTAGGGAATCGGGTGGAGGGGCGGGGCGTCGCTAGGGCTGCACGAGGCAGGGACGGGGCGTCGCTAAGGCTGCATGGGGCGGGGAGCTGGCCATCGCTGGAGACCCGGATGGTGGCGAGGGGAGTCGCTAGGGACCTGGGAGGCGGGGCGGGGCGTCGCTAGGGCTGCGGGCTGAAGGGCCGGGCGTTGCTATGATTGTGTGGCCGTGGGCGGGGCGTTGCTAGGACTGTGGAGCGGGGGCGAGGCGTTGCTAGGACCGCGGGGCCGGGGGCGGGGCGTTGCTAGGGTAGCGGGCGGCGGGGGCGGGGCGTTGCTAGGGAGCGGGGGCGGGGCCTTGGCGCACTCCACAGCCCCCTCCCCTCGGGGCGTTCCCCCGTCCCCTCCCGGTGCGCTGTCCCCTACTGGGGCGAGTTCAAGCGGGGACATGGGGACGTCCTCCGCCTGTGCTGGGGGGACGACACCGACCCGGATGCAGCCCGGCTTCCTGCGCCAGCCTCAGTCTCCCCTCCCCCCGCCCCCGCCCCCAATGCAAAATGGGGCCCATGACTCATCTCGCAGCCTCAGTTTCCCCATCCGCACCACGCTGCATGGGAGACCCAAGAATGCAGTGGGCTGGGTGCTGCACGCCGTCGCCATGGAACCGCTATGGAAGGAGAACCGACGCACACAGTAGGCACCGACTGCATGCCCCAAGAAGCCAGGTGGGTGTCATCCGGAGGTCGGCCCCTTTCCTAAGCCAAATGACACTTGGGACCCTCCTTGGCCCGCCTCCGAAATGCAGACCCCCAAATACAAGCAAAGGACATAGTTGAGGAAGCAGGCTGCAAAACTCTGAGTCAGCCCAAGTGTCTCCCCAGGTTCCCCAGACCCGGAGCTCAAACACCCGTATACAGTCGCTCATTCACTCGACAAACACTTATCAAGCACAGCTGTTTGCCTGCTCCTGCAGCAAGGACCATGGAGTCACAGGAAGAGCAAGAGGCATGTGATGGCATGTGGAGCAGGGAGGACGTGATCTGTCATATGGACAGCAGGGACATTAGGAAGATGGAGGTGGCCCTAGAGAAAAGTGAATGGACTTGGGTCTCCGTACCAGGCCGTGACCCCAGGGTGCAGCATGACCAGAGCAGATTGAGGCCTGGTCTCCTGGGGCTCCTAAGCTCTGGACAAGAAAACCAGAGGACCTAGATAGATATCAACTGGACACAGTGTCCAAGCCTGTGAGGCTCAGGAGGCCGAGGTCGGGAGGATTGAGGCGCTTATCCAGCCAGGGCAAAGAAGACCCCATCTCAAACAGCAAGCTGGGCATGGTTGAGCACGCCTGTAATCCCAAGTACAGGGACGCATAGGTCGGAGGAATGAGGTCTGAAGCTAGCCCCCAAGGCAAAAGCATGAGACTCCCCCCAGACCCCGCCCCTGCCCGGTGTGAAAAATGACCTCAAGTAAAAAGGGGCTGGAAACCCAACTCAGGGGTCCAGCCCTGCACAAAAGTAAAATAAAGTAAAAGGACTGTGTGAACAGGCCTGAAGGAAAGGGCTGTCAGAAAAAGTGTCCCCGTCCGGGAGCTTGCAGATCTGGCAGAAAGAAAGGACCGAGGGGACAGGGCCTGACCGGTGTGGGGGGGAGGCAGGAGGACAAATGAGCTGACCACTCAGACTACAGTGTAAATGACTGCCATACGGATCCCGGGAGAAGTCCACACTGGTCAGGCTCCTGGGGACCCAGATCCTCCCCTGTGCGGTGGCAATGTGACTCTGCTGCCCCCTGGTGGTGAGTGTGGTGACCGCCACTGGCACCCCAAACCCTATTTGCTCAGCAACCCCCTCCCCAACACAACGGTCCCTCCCTGTCCTCCTGTCCTCTCTCCAGCTGGGACCACGTGCCATGGCCTCTCTCCCAGTCCGACCCCGGCCAGCCACAATCTCCTTCCTGCCGCAGGACCTTGGCACGTGCTACTGCCAGGGCCGGGTGTCCCTCTTCCCCAGCTGAGTCCACACTTTGTCACCAGTGTCACCTCCCCGACACACCTGTTGTCGGCATCCATTAAAAGAAGGCCTCTCTGGGTAGCCGTGAGCAGCTTGTTCATACTACAGTGTAAATGATTGCCAAACAAACCCTGAGAGTCAACAGTACAGGGTTGGGACTCCGGGACCTGCCCTGTCACAGAGGGTCCCACGGACCCGAAAACGGCCCTGGGCCACACCAAATGAGAACAGGCATGTCCTGTGAGCCTCAGTTTCCTTTCTGGGAAACCGGGGTGGGGGGAGCAGGGACCTGGCAGCCTGGGAACGCGACACCTGTGTGGGGGAGTCCAATGGGTCGAGTGGTGGCCTTGCCTGTCCACCTGTCACAAGCTGGGCCTGGAATGGAATTTTCCCGCGGGGCCGGGGGAGGGGGGGCGACTTCCCCATGGACACGCAGCCATATATCCAGGAGGGGTAAACTGAGGCCAGAGGGGCGATGCGGTCAGTCAGTCAGTCAGTTACTTACCTCCAAGGGCGCAGACCCAGGCTGGGGCTGCCCGGGCTGCAGGGACTGCGGGGGCTGCCGGGGCTCCGCAAGGCCGGACACTGGCCACCAGGGGACAGGCTGCAAAGAAGGCGGGGTGACCGGCGGCCCCGAGGGGGGCGCAAGCCGGGCGGGCTCCCCGGAGGTGGCGGACACTCACTCGAGGGTCAGCGCGGGGATGCGCAGCCGGTCCCGGCGGGATTTCATGGCGAGGAGGCCAGGGTGGAGGGCGGACAGGCGCGGGGCGGACAGACCGAAGGACGGAGGCTCCGCCCCGGGGCGGGACCCGCACCTGCGCAGCCGCCATGTGGACGCGGACTGGGCCAGGAGAGCCGGGAGTGCAGAGACCCACCGCCATGGTCACTGTCGTGGTCACTGTCCTCTGAAAATACCTAACCCACCCCCCACTGCACATCTGGGGCGGCGCCTCCTGTGTCCACTTCGAGGGTCCACCCCGGTCATGGTCACCGTCATAGCCACTAGTCAGGGACCCTGCACACTGCGGGCTGTCGCTGTCCAGGATGGAGCCAAGCCAGGTGCAGGACAGGTGGCCGGCGCTGGGTCACGCTCAGGCACCGCCCAGTGGACTTTGTCCTCCCCGTGGATCCCCTGTCCACCTCCTGCCCCCAGCTCAGCCACAGGCCAGGGACACCCGGCCTGGCCTCTGGTCCCTGGGTGTCCAGCACTCAGCTGAGGCCATTCCCACAGCGACAGGACCAGACGGCCTGGGCTTGGGGTCCACTCTGACCCCCTCCCTGTCCTGGCCATGCCGGGTCCCCGCTGTCCCCTGCATAGCACCCCCTGGCCAGTCCTTTTCTCTTTTTAGGGCTCA